GGGGGGGAAGGATGTCCTGCCTTGTTCCACAGGGCTGATGGGAGTCACCCCTTTTCTACACTGCAACAAGACCCAGGTAAGAAGAGGTCACTGCTAAACTGCCATAAAACACCTAGTACCAAGCAGGAGCAAAGCAGGTGCCTAAAATATCGGTATGCTTCTCAGCAAGGATGGAGTCTTGCTGCTTTTCCTAGTATTTGGTGGAAATCCTTGGAGGATTGTTACCTAGAGCAGGGACAAGTAAACAAATCTGGCTGTAGCCCACTTTTATTTTATTTTATTTATTTTTTTGAGTTGGAGTCTCACTCTGTCGCCCAGACTGGAGTGCAGTGGCCGCTCCCGGCCACTGTAGCCTCAACCTGCTGGGCTCCGGCGATCCTTCCGCCTCAGCCTTCCGATTTTATTTTTTTTGAGTTGGAGTCTCACTCTGTCACCCAGACGGAGTGCAGTGGCACGCTCCTGGCCAGTGCAGCTTTGACCTGCTGGGCTCCAGCGATCCTTCCGCCTCAGCTTTCCAAGTAGCTGGAACTACAGGCGCGCACTACCACGCCCAGCTAATTTTTGATTTATTATAGAGATGAGGTCTCGCCAAGTTGCCCAGGCGGGTCACAAACCCGTGGGCTCAGGCAATCCACTCACCTCAGCCTCCCAAAGTGAGGGATTACAGGCTGAGCCACTGAGCCCAGCTATTTTATTTTTTTTTGAGTTGGAGTTTCCCTCTGTTGCCCAGGCTGGAGTGCAGTGGCACGCTCACGGCCACTGCAGCCTCGATCTGCTGGGCTCAGGAAATCCTTCTGTCTCAGCCTTCCTAGTAGCTGGAACTACAAGGGCACGCCACCACACCCAGCTGATTTTTTGATTTATTGTAGAGACGAGATCTCGCCATGTTGCCCAGGCTGGTCTCGAACCCCTGGACTAAGGCAATCCTCTTACCCCAGCCTCCCAAAGTGCTGGGATTACAGGCTTGAGCCACTGCGCCCGGCTGTAGTCCCACTTTTAAAACAAAGTTTTAGGCCGGGTGCTGTGACTCACATCCATAATTCTGGCTGCTTTTACACGACTATAGCAGAGCTGAGTCACTGTGACAGAAACCATGTGGCTGCAAAGCCTAAAACAGTTACTGCCTGGCCCTTTACAGTGTTTGCTAACCACTGGCTTAGAGGTAGGTTCCCACTTTATAGATGGAGAACCGACAAACAGGCTCTTAAAAAGGATACATTTCTAGACAAACTGTGCTTGGAGCAAACCAGGAGAGAAGTAGGGGGGCGCCGTGTACCTCGTAGAGCTTGGTGGCAACAAATATTCTACCAGTGGCATTGATTCCTTCCATAATTACTACCTGAAAGACAAGAGACAGAACAAGATTGCTAAGCCAGGGAGAGCAATGAGAGGTCTGCAAGACATTATTTCCAGGCAGTGAAAAGCACTGTCTAGCTACTCTCACTTTGTAATTATAAACTTAGGGCGTTTTTCTAGAAAACAAATTAAGGGGGTTTCATTAGTAATAATTATGCTTGACATAAATGGCCTAATTTTCACAACAATCCTATGAGGTCAGAATTATTTTCCCATTTTATGGATGAAGGCACTGTAGCTTAGAAGGTTAAGTACCTTGCCCACAGCCACACACCTCGTGGGGTCGAGCTGGGCAGTCAGACCCCAGAGCTAAGGTCAGAGCACACAAGCAAACATTGGAATCCCAACCTCAGGGTCTGCTCTTGGACTGTGCTCCAGGCACCACACCTAATAGCACAAGATAGGTGCCGGGGAACAACAAAGCACACATACTACAACGAAAAGAGCAAGTCTCTATCCTGGTAGAGACCCCTCCAATCTCACCTGTCCAGGAAACAGAGAATATTCTTTGAGCTCAGATAAATCCACTGGAATTCGAGCACCCGAGGAATGCTCCCGGTCCCCCTCAAGAATCACCGACTTGCTGTTTAGTTTTCCGTTGCTATCACAGCCAATCTGGCCCAGCAGAGTGACAGGCTCCTACCAAAGGAAGGCTTGCAGTATAAGAATGACAGTCTTTGGGGCAGAAGCCCAAATTTGGAAGTCAACAGGGCGAACAGCAAAACAAATCACAAACAACAAATACTTTTTTGCCAGGACATCCCTCTGACCCTGAGATGACAGCATCATCACTGACTCTCAGGGGTGGAAGAACTCTTAAGGGGCATCTGGTCTACCCCCTACTCCCCCCAGCATTTGAGCCTTCCTAGATGGATGCCAAAGCATGGGCATCTCCAGTGTATGGAAACTTGTCCCTGCCCCTGTGCCCACCCGAGGCAGTCCACTGCATCTTCGGATGGCTATAACTTCATAATAGCCAACATTTATTGAGCGTACTGAATGCCAGGCACTTATCTAAAAGCTTTCATGTACTAACTCATTTAATCCTCATAACAACTTCAAGGTGGATATTACTGCACTCATTTTACAGTTGAGGAAAACAAGCAACAGAGGTCAGATAATTTAGTCAAGGTCAAACAGTAGATAAAACCTGGATTTGAAGTCCAGAAATTTGGCTCTAGAGCCATATCCATATCCTTAGTTGCATACCACTTCGCCTCTTTTTTTTTTAAGTTGGAGTCTCACTCTGTCTCCCAGGCTGGAGTGCAGTGGCACGCTCATGACCACTGCAGCCTCAACCTGCTGGGCTCAGGTGATCCTTCTGTCTCAGCCTTCCAAGAAGCTGGAATTATAGGCATGTGCCACCATGGCTGGCTAATTTTTTGATTTATTGTAGAGATGAGGTCTTGCAAGGTTGCCCAGGCTGGTCTCGAACCTGTGGGCTCAGGCAATTTTCTCACCTCGGCCTCCCAAAGTGCTGGGATTATAAGTGTGAGCCACCATGTCCGGTCTACCACATTGCCTCTTAACAGGAAGTTCTTTACTAAATTGAGCCCAAATCTCTCTCCCTACAGCTTCCTCTTTCTGTTCTCACTCTTGGGAGCAGAGAGTGGAAGTCTAATCTTTCCCACATGACTGTGCATCCCTGCTCCCCTCCACCACTTCCTCCCAAGTCCTCCAAAACTTCCTTCTATGGTATGGTTTTGCATATCTTCCCAACTGGTCATTATTCTCTGGATGGTAACATAGGGCAAGACCCTGCCTTAACACAAGGGTCCTCAATCCCTGTGGGCTGTGGATCGGTACCACACAGCAGGAGGTGAGCAGCAGGCGAGTGGAGCTCCACCTCCTGCCAGATCAGCAGCAGCATTTGATTCTCATAGTAGTGTGAACACTATTGTAAACTGTGCAAGCGAGGGACCTAGGTTGCACGCTCTTTATGAGAATCGAATGACTGATGATATTTCCCCTACTACCTATCCGTGAAAAAAGTGTCTTCCACAAAACTGGTCCCTGATGCCGAAAAAGTTGGGGACCGCTGCCTTAAAGAATCTTCTAGAACACATCTGCCCTTAGATTTGAAAATGTTCCAGAGAGAAAGCACTGGTATATAAGCCAGATTGAAGATGAGATAAGGATTTTATTGGCAACAGTTTGTGTTAGGGGAGACTTGAGTCACTGCCCAGAGAACGAGACTCTGGAAACCCAGCCTCACTGCTGTCCTCATATCTGGATACTTGAGTGTTTCTATCTGTGGGAAGTCTCCAGGGGAGTACCTGCCTCACCACCAAGGGGAAAATGGCCTTCAACCTTTGCTTATGTTCAAGACCCTATTCAAGTAGGAAGAAAACTCTGGTCACAAAACCAGAGAGCAAGCATAAGTTTTTCTTCAGAAGGACCCATGTTTACAAAACTCATTTGAGGTAGACATTCAAATAGAACAGAGACAAAAAATGAAAAAGAACGGCTCTTACTTGTGCTGGAACTGTCAGAGGAGTGAAAGCCTCAATCCTGTAATGTTCCTTGAGTTCATGGCCAAGTTCTTCTATCTTACAGGTCAGAACTGCAATTCGAGGTGAAAAAGCATTACGTTTAAGATATTTCATGCTGGGCTTGGTGGCTCAGCCTGCAATCATGCACCTTTGGGAGGCTGAGGTGAGTGGATTGCCTGAGCCCGCTGGTTCGAGACCCACCCGGGCAATTTGGCGAAACCTCATCTCTACAATAAAAATCAAAAAATCAGCCGTGCGTGGTAGCGCATACCTGTAATTCCGGCTACTGGGAAGGCTAAGGCGGAAGGATCACCGGAGCCCAGCAGGTTGAGGCTGCAGTGGCCGGGAGCAGCCACTGTATTCCAGTCTGGGTGACAGAGTGAGACTTCAACTCAAAAAAAAAAAAAAGATATTTCACTTGCTGAGAAAATATAGCACACTGTAAAATATTAAAATCAGTCATTTTAAAGAAGCAGGAGGGGTATTTGGGACAACTGGCCAATTTAAACCTTCTAAAGCCCTAGCCAAGTTTCCGATTTTGATTGCTGAATCTGGCCCTCCATTTGGCCACAGAGATCCTGGAGTACAGTCCTGGGGAGTCAGTGTGAACCCCCACTAGCAAGTGTCTCCTTTTTTTTTTTTTTTAAGTAAGAGTCTCACTCTGTTGTCTAGACAGATGTGCAGTGGCATGATCACCGTAGCCTAGATCTCCTGGGCTCAGGTGATCCCCCTGCCTCAGCCTCCTGAGTAGGTGCGACTACAGGTGTACGTCACCGTGCCTGGCTAATTTTTATAGAGATGAGGTCTTGCTATGTTGCTTAGGCTGGTCTTGAGTTCCTGGGCTCAAGCAATCCTTCCGCCTTGGCCTCTCAAATTGCTGGGATGACAGGTGTGAGTTACCAAGCCTGGCTGAGTGTATCCTTTACACAGGTCTGCACTGAGGTTTCAGGGAAGTCAAGGCCAACCTCAAGACCTTCCAAGGAAGAAACCATCAATATCTTTAAGTGGAATTCCTATACATAGTTTAAGTTGTTGTTACAGGGAATGTTTCCCCTTTGGCAAAGTGATGTGACTTGGGAGGGTTAGTGATGGTATCCCCAGTGTCCCTCCATGAACAGGGCTTCCATGAGGACATCTACCAACTTGTATGTTCAAAGACAACCTTGGAACGTGTTTGACCAGCTTAGCCGAAGTTTTCTTGCATACTCTAAACCCTTCCAAGTGGTTTTTATATTCAGCAGAATTTAAAAGGGAAAAACACTCACCTTCTCGAATGTCTGGGAGCTTCTGAAACATGGATTTGTAGCTCCCAGTTAGCGCCTGTGGACACCCCAAGACCTTCAGGCTGATGTTTCCAGCTCCTCCTCTTCCAGACCAAGACACTCCCTGTGCTGAGCCAAAAGTGGTAACCACTTCTCCTCGGTTATTTCTCAAGTTGTACTTCTGGGAGGGAGTCGCACTAGTTGGAAGCAAAAGAGGTTAACGTTACTGTGTTCTTATCCAAAGGGAGAGGACGAAAGTGAGGTTTCCTTTTGGAAATGGGGATTGAAGAAAGGGAAGTTGGCCTTACACTTATAAATCTAATCAGCTTAATGGGGTTGGACATACCCAGACCTTTAAGGAATTTCAGGAATGAGAGGCTGAGAAACACCAGGCTGAGGAATATCAAACATTTTTAGAAAAGTTTAGAGACAGAAGCAAATTTTAAAAGGTTGTCCTCCTGGCATTAAAACTAAACAAAACAAAGCAAAACCCAAACTCTGAATTGATTAAAAAGCAAGTTTCAAGTACCATTTTCTTTTCTTCTTATGAATTCTTAGCAATTAATGAAAACAGCACCTGAGCCTGGAACCATGGATAAGCCAAAAGTCGCTAAGCATATATAAAAACTCACAAAAGAGTTCAAGGTAGAAACAATAAAATGAAGTTAAACAAAAAGTAATCAACTTTCCCCAGTGTCCACAAAGGTGAAGATGTAATGAATTCAGTCTACCGATGTGTAAACATTCCCATTTTCCAAGGTTCAACTACAAGTTCTCATATTTCCACTGCCTGACTGGCAAAGCATACCTTCAAGAACACATGGATGTGTAGATCTGCTTAGTGAAGTCTTCTAATCCTTTGGTTGTGAACACAATGTTCAGAGAGGTCTATTTAAAATAGCATTTGTTTGATGCGCTGAAACTCTGCAGGAACCTGTTTTACATGGAGCACCATCACAATTGGTGCCATTATCCTTGCTTTATACAGAGCAGCTACAGAAAATGAGCTCAATTAATTATCTGTTTCCACTGCTGCCTTTACCTGAATAATTTAGAAGCTACTTTCACAAATTACAAAACCAGTTTCTGCTGTCAGCTTTATTAGTGTGCATTAAAAAATTGACAAGGCAGCATCCTGCAGTCTTTTTCTTTTCTTTTTTTTTGAGTTGGAGTCTCACTCTGTCGCCCAGACTGGAGTGCAGTGGCCGCTCCCGGCCACCGCAGCCTCGACCTGCTGGGCTCCGGCGATCCTTCCGCCTCAGCCTTCTGAGTAGCCGGAAGTACAGGCATGCGCTACCACGCCCGGCTGATTTTTTTTTTGATTTATTGTAGAGATGAGGTCTTGCTGCCCAGGTGGGTCTTGAACCCGTGGGCTCAGGCAATTCACTCACCTCAGCCTCCTAAAGGCGCGGGATTACAGGCTGAGCCACTGAGCCCGGCCTGTGGTCTTTTTCAAACTCCTTCTTGTGAAGTTTCCTAGGACATCCATGACAGCAGGCCCTTTAACACAACGAGACGCTCACGCGAGGTCAGATATAAACAGATCTCCAGGTTTCAAAAAGGATGTAACTTCTGTAATGATGCTGGCACACCTGTGAGAACCATCCCTCTTCGCTAGGTTGCAAAGATGTCCTTTTAAGTCTAGAAAGCTTGCTTCCAGAAACACTTTTGAGAACTCCCCAAAGTCAGGTTGTCCTTCAAAATTCAAGACCACCATGCAGCGGTGGCTCATGCCTGTAATCCAAGCACTTTGGGAGCCGGAGGAGAGAGGACTGCCTGAGTCCAGGGGTTCGAGACCAGCCTGGACAACTTGATGAGACCTCGTCTCTACAATAATTCAAAAAAAATTAGCCGGGCGTGGTGGTGTACACCTGTGGTTCCAGCTACTTGAAAGACTGAGGCAGAAGGATTGCCTGAGCCCAGCAGGTCAAGGCTGCAGAGGCTGCGAGTGTGTCACTGCACTCCAGCCTGGGCGACAGAGTGAGACTTCGATTAAAAAAAGAAAAAAAAGACAATCCAACAACCACTCACTCTGAATGACTGCAGAGCTTCCATTCCCCTTTCTAAAGTGACAGTACTGCTCCCAAGCCACCTCCTGAGTGGCAGCTTCTAAGACCCCTCTACTCAGCAGAACACTTACTATGTATGGCATTCCCTAACACGAGACCTGTCATTTACGGATTTTGAAAACTCACATGTGATCTTTGTGGATTTATGTGCAATGGTGGCAGCAGGGATAAAATACCAATTAAGTCAGGGTAGATTTACAGTGACAAGAAAACTCTCAAAACTAGTTGGAACCTGAGCGAGCAAAGATAAACAGGTTATGAGATATTATGAACACAGATATGTGCTTTTCTTTTTAAAAAATAAATACTTTAAGAGAAAGGAAGGAAGGAAGAAAGAATCCCAACAAAATAACAACTAACAGAAGCAGGTGAAAATGATTTGCTTCTACTGGAAAAACTCGTAAGACTTCTCGACTTCTGAATAGACAGGTTGTTTTCAATAGAAGTTATCAGTTCTCAATCTAGGAAATGAGCCTTAGAAAAGTGGGTGGGAACTAAGTTTCCTTAACTCCTGTCAGAAACAGTAATTTTCCACAAAGGAAGAGAAAGCAGGATAGGCACAGAGCAATAGCCTCCCAGCCAATCCACTGCAGACGTAAATGCCCACCACGGTTAATAAGTCACTCTGCTGTAAGCCTTCAACACATCGCGAGAGAAAGGGGGGGAGGGCTGCTTTTTTGGCACTTGAATTAATTATGATCCATACCTCGAAGAGAAACTTGATGGTGAGAAGAGCTGATGGGGGCTATGAGTAGACACGCTCCTTTTTTTCAGGGGGGTCTCTGGAGTGGTGATAGCTCGCTTCTGAGAACCCTAGAAACAAAATGGAAAACAAGACCCGGGTCACTCTAGACCCAAGCTACTAATAAAGTGTATGGTCCCTTAGGAAGGAAGGGGAAAATCATAATCAAATGAAGGGCACAAAATAGGACTGGGTCAGTTCTCTCCTTTAGGCCTGGTCTTTCAAGCATAACCCGACAGAGAAAACTTCAACCACAACCAACATTCACCAGGACACTGTCCCCATTTGGAAGGCAATTATGAAAAGTGAAAATATTTTCCCAAAAAAGATTGCCAAGGCAGGCAATCTGCTCTGTCCGATTCTTCCTGTACCCACCTCTTTCTGTTTTTAGACAGATCAGAGTTGTGTGAGCATACTGCTTTGACCTGTGCACACATTTTCCTGAGAAGGGACAGGATCGTGTTACCACTTATTTTGGCAAAGTCTACGATTTCAAAATTAAAGAAGAGAATGATTCCAGGCAGATAATATGGCTGAGCTCATACTTGGAAAGTAGTTAGCAAACACCTCATTGATAGTCACTTCTGGGTTTGCCTTTTTTTTTTTGGCTCATCAGCAAGAATTTAAAGATAAGAAACTTAATGCTCCCTAAAGTCTGGGATAACTGACTTTAACAGGGAAAAGACAGAATCTCAGTCTGCAGAAGCTTTTCCTGCCCTAGAGCTCCTCCTGGCTGGGAGTTTAAATTATGCCTCCAAGCTGCCAACTGGTGATGAAAACAGGACAGAATGTGACAACAGGTTCAAAACCATCATTGATCTCTCACAGAAACAAAGATCTGAGTATCACATGTTCTCACTCATATAGTGGACCTTGAACATCTATCATAATACTGTAAGAAAAGGATTGACAGTGGCGGGAGACTATGGGGGGGTTAGGGAGGGGAAGGGAGGTGGGATTAACAGTAGTCAATACCTGTCTGGGGACACACCCCTTATCAACAAGGATGCCTGAATGATGCATATTTGTATACCTAACCCTTAACTGTACCCCACAATTTTAAAATAAAAAATATGCTTAAAAAAAGCTGCAACGGAAACTAGATTAAAATAAAACACCCTGGGCAAGTCCTTCGGGTTCCCTCCCACTGTGAGAGCTTTTCTGTTCTCTCAATAAATCCTCCTTAAAAAAAATAAAATAAGAAAACAAAACATCCTTATACAATAGCCATATTTAAATATTCCTGAATGGTATTTTAATATGTTTAGAATTTTAAACGTATACAAATTGTGATAGTTATATCGTCATTTAAATATAAACCTAAGGCTGAACTCGGTGGCTCAGCCTGTCATCTCAGCACTTTGGGAGGCTGAGGCGGGTAGACTGCCTGAGCCTACAAGTTTGAGACCAGCCTGGGCAACTTGGTGAGACCTCATCTCTACAATAAATCAAAAATTAGCTGGGTGTGGTAGCACACGCCTGTAGTTCCAGCTATTTGGAAGGCTGAGGTGGAAGGATCGCTGGAGTCCAGCAGGTCGAGGTTGCGGTGGCCGGGAGCAGCCACTGCACACCAGTCTGGGCAACAGAGTGAAACTCCAACTCAAAAAAAAAAAATTAGCTGGGCATGGTAGCGCGCATTTGTAGTTCCAGCTACTTGGAAGGCTGAGGCGGAAGGATCACCTAAGCCCAGCAGGTCGAAGCTGGGGTGGCCGTGAGCGTGCCACTGCACTCTAGCCTGGGCGACAGAGTGAGACTTCAACTCAAACAAATAAATAAACAGGTAAATAAAAACTTAAGTATTTTGATTTTTTTCCCTCTATATTACCAACATTTTCCCACATTGTTATAATAATCTGTCCTTTTTAGTAGTTTCTGTTTGATTGAATTGACATATAATAATTTACATAAATACTTCTCTATTGCTGGATTAGGGTTATTCATAGTATTTGGTGATTATAAATAATGTTGAAACACATTTTCATGGACACAGCTTTTGCTATAATTTGCATTATTTCCTCAGGAGAGATTATTTTTCTAGGGAGACTTATTAGGTCAAAGGATAGAAAATATTTTATAGTTTTAGTATATTTTCTCAAACTATTTTCTCAAGAGATTTTTTTTTTTTGAGTTGGAGTCTCACTCCATCGCCCAGGTTGGAGTGCAGTGGCAAGCTCACGACCACCACAGCCTCGACCTGCTAGGCTCAGGTGATCCTTCTGCTTCAGTCTTCCAAGTAGTGGGAACTATAGGAATGCGCCATCATGCCCGGCTAATTTTTTGATTAATTTTTGATTTATTGTACAGATGAGGGCTCGTCAAGTTGCCCAGGCTGGTCTTGAATTCATGGGCTCAGGCAATCCTCTCGCATCTGCATCCCAAAGTGCTGGGATTACAGGCGTAAGCCACTGCACCCAACTCCCAAGATTCTTCTAATATACAGTGAACACTAGTATGCCAGGGCCAATGTTGTAAGCAGGGATATTTCAAGAGAATAACAGGTCTGTCTCCTAGGACATGGCAAGGTGACGACAGCACTTTGGTAAAAAACGCAGTCTACTGTCTCCTAGGACATGGCAAGGTGACGATAGCACTTTGGTAAAAAACGCAGTCTAAGCCAGGCTCGGTGGCTCAGCCTATAATCCCGCGCCTTTGGGAGGCTGAGGTGA